ATTCGTTGCTTCGGAGACCCGCAGCAAAGTTAGAAGATGAATGTTATCAATCGTACCTAGCTCGAGTCGAGGATTCTGTTGTAGATAACCCCCGCATGTTTTGGGGATACGTAAAATCACTCAATAAATCCTCACGTGCGCTTCCATCTGTAATGAATCTGGACAGCACTTATGCAGATACTGGAGAATCTGTTTGTAATTTGTTTTCACACTATTTCCAATCAACTTTCCTTGACGCCACAGTAAATGGAAGTGTTTTACATTCCGATACTTCTAATAGTCAACACTCTAATGTTACTAGTATTTGTAATGTTGATATTACTCCAGAGGTAGTTGAGCGACAATTAAAATCTATTAATCTGAATAGAGGGGCTGGCCCTGATGGTAAACCTCCGTTCTTTATTAGGCACTGCGCTCTAAATCTTGTATTGCCTTTGCATATAATCTTTTCACGGTCCTTAAAAGAGGGTGCGGTGCCTGCCGTTTGGAAGTCCGCCTTCATTACACCCGTTCATAAAAAGGGTGATAGGTCGAATATAAAAGATTACAGGCCGATCTCCAAACTCTGTATATTCGGGAAAATTTTTGAGAGAATTGTATATGATCAGGTCTACGCTGCGTTACAGTCCATCTTTATACCAGAACAGCATGGCTTTCTGAAGCGAAGGTCGACTGTATCTAATCTGCTAGTATTTAGCGACTTTACAACCTCACATATGGAGTCTGGAGGTCAAGTGCATGCTGTTTACCGATTTTAGCAAAGCATTCGATCGTATCGACCATTTGCTACTCCTGCAGAAGTTGCATAAAGCTGGAATACACGGTAACCTCTTCAGGTGGTTTTCCTCATACATTACAAATAGATCTCAGGCTGTTGCAATTAACGGCTTCACGTCTGCATGGATGCCGATCCCATCTGGTGTTCCTCAGGGTTTCTTATTAGGACCATTGCTCTTTATTATTTTTATTAATGACATTGGCTCATGCTTTAATCACGCTAGTTTTCTTTCCTATGCAGATGATACAAAAATATTTATGGCCATTAAGAGCCTCTCTGATTGTGAGTTACTGCAAATGGATTTGGATAATTTTGCAAAATATTGTAAACATAACAAATTGGACCTTAATGTATCCAAGTGCTTTGCAGTCAATTTTACGCGTAAAATCAACCCCACTCAATTTAGGTACACTATTAATTATGAGCCGCTTGCTTATGTCGCGTCAATAAGGGATTTAGGCGTTATACAGGACTCGAAACTAATATACGATAAACATATTGACTTCATCGTGAAGAAAGCCAACAAATCCTTAGGTTTTATTATTAGATCAACCTCAAATTTTAACAACATTAAACCTATTAAAGTGCTTTATTGTGCACTGGTACGCAGTATCCTCGAGTATGCGTCTGAGGTTTATAACCCGCATTGTAATATATATAATAATAATATAATATAATAATATAATATATTCTACCACATACAACGCCATCTAGTCCCAAACTAAGCAGAGCTTGTACTATGGGTACTAGATAACTGATATAAATACATATGTACTTTTTTTTTTTTGTAAATACATACATATTATACATAGAAACACTCAGACCAAATCAAACATCATGTTCATGCACACAAATGTTTGACTGTCTGAATCAACACAAATGTTCATGCACACAAATGTTTGACTTGAGCGGGAATCGAACCCGCGACCTTTGGAATAGCAGTCCGTTACACAAACCACTACGCCATCCAGTCCTTATTGATCGTATTGAGTCCATCCAAAAAAGATTTTTAAGATATTTGCAGTATAAGTGTAAGTGTATTGATCACGGATATGTAACAAGATGTAAGAGATATCATTTTCTGCCTTTAACAAATAGACGTACTGTCTCCAATATTGTTACATTATTAAAAATCATTAACAGAGATATAGATTGCTCGATTCTTCTCGAGAAAATTAAAATCAGAGTACCGCATAATTTACGCACTAGGCATAATCCAACCTTAGCAGTACCTCGAACAAATTCCAACTACCGCAAAAATTCCTTTATTATTCGAGCCAGTAAATCTGTAAATGATATGTATAAATTGAGTAGCGAGTTTGAGCTCTTCAGATCCAGACCTTCACATGTCAAAAAATACATGCTTCAAAAATTTTTTCAACCCAATATTAGGAGCGTGACATTTTCTTAGTCTAAGTTTTTATTTTTTCCTTTTTCTAAGTTGTTGTTGTTAAGTTACTTGAACTGTTGTTTTACACTTGGAATCTATTTGCAAATACCTGTAAATAGCTTCGTTGTAACCTTACTCTAATGTTTTACCTTGCATTATTTGTGCTGTTGGTATTCCGAACAAAATAAAATATAATAAAATAGCTGTTTAGGGTTGGTCAAATATCCAGCATACTTTAAGGATATCGAGCTAAGAAAAATTAATTGACCTTCCTGGATATTAAAAGTAATTTGTTGCTTCCTTTAACAAAAATGAAGAAGTTTAAGCTAAGGACCTCTTTAAAATTATTTTTAATACTTTAAGTTAATGTAGGTAATCAACACCATTTTTTTTAGAGTAGCTACTTTATGCTTTTTGAAGTGAATTTATTCCAATGTCTCCAGATACATGCTTCAGCAACAGTTTATCTCTAACACAGACCAGCTAAAAATTAATGATAAGTAGATTAATGATAGAATGTAGTTTGCAAACCTTATGATATATTCTGCAAAGTAAAGATTGCATTTCCTATGACAGCTATTTGTAAAGAAATTAAGAAACCTTACGATATGATCAGTCAATAGTGCCCAATTGGTGCCTCCCCTGTGTTTTACTAAATAAAGGTGATTTAGAAAAACAAACAGCATAAAGTAAATTTCAAACAAAAAGTAACAATAACATAGTATTGCTACAATTTTTTAAATTAGAAAGCAGTGAAATGATCGGATGTGACAGAAATGATCTAAAACCTACTGAGACTACTACTAATTATTGAGACATTATACTGAGAGTACTGACAAATGCATATACAGAATTAATTCAATGCCCATAAAATACAGCAAAATGTGATTTCCTAGGTTCTGATTTACTGAATGGCAAAAAAGTGCCCAGTACTTATAATAAGTGTTTACAAGCTTTGCTGTTTTCCACTTGCAGTTATTGTTGTATTAAATTATTACATCCAGACATGGTTATGAATGACTAGCCATACCCCTTTTATTACAGAAAATAAAGTAAAAAAATTACACTACTACACCTGATATAATGTGTGCTTTTAAATCAAAATAAGATTATAGAACAAAATATCAATGCCCAGGGCTTCTTTCTATGTTAAACTAATCTCAAGGTCTAGTAGACAACAGTGAATAATAAGACCATTCTGCTAGTCATACCAAAAATATATATCTCACTAATAATCGTGCAAAATAAAAGATTACAATTTTCTACTCTCTATTTAAGTGTAAACTACTCTACTATTATTAATACGTAAAAACAAGATTAAAATAAATTGTTGTGTACAAACATTCGTATAAAATAAGAATAAATTGTATGGTTTTATTTCATTAGTCACATACCTTTATGGTGAAATTAGGTAGAAGTTTAAGACATTAATGTTCCAATGCTGTTTAATATACACATATTTAAATTTTAACTTTTTAATTCCATATTTCAGTTTTTAATGATTTGATTACAACATTTACAACCAAAACTAGCGATGTGCCGAGTAGGGCTTGACTTGACTCGAGTCTAGCATACGAGTTAGGTTGGCTCGCACGTAGGTAATCGATCTCTGTTTACAACTTTACATAAGCAATGATGTGACGTCTAATAATACAAGTTTGAACCTGCAACTTTTTGTTTTGTGTTAGTAAGCTGTTACTGAGAGTGAATTTAATTGTTTGAATTTAAAAAATTTATTTTGATTATTTTGATTGTAATTAACTTTACAACAAAATGGCGCCGAAAAAAGCCTCAGGTGTGTGGAAGTGTTTTGAGAAAGTGGACGGCGATAAAATAAAGTGCAAAAACTGTGATTCCGTATTTAAAGACTTTAAAAATACAACAAATTTATTGAAACACCTAAAAAAACCTAATCCTATCATTTACTCGACTCACACTGTCAATTCTTCAACGACCCCCGCTCAGAGTGATTCCGATTTACTAAGTGAAGCTTCTGATTCTGGAGTCGGAACGCCACTCAGAGAAAACAAGAACGCTAATCTATGCCAAACAATCGCAGACGGCGAAACTCCAACACCCCAAAAACGGACAATTCAAAGTGATGGATGAATTAAAAAAATGTGGATAAAGCGTTATTCCGATTTTCAACCGTTTCAAGTCGTTTAAAATACAGGTTTTCAAGATTATACTAGTCCGCTTAATCCTAATTGCGAGCTACCTTCGCGGAAGATTCTTGCGGAAAAAATTATTCCGGAGCAATATCGGATGTAAACAAATCTGTTGTCAAAGCAAAATAACCTGTTGCTTTTTTTTTAAAGTTTTATGACCCAGACGATACACTTTATTAATAAAGACAAATTTTAATCTTTGAAATTATCCACCAGGGAAGTTAAAGATGCCCATACGTCAGAAAATTTAGCTCAAGTAATGGGAGATATATTAGAAACTGAATGGAATATTTAGGACAAAATCCTTTGCGTTACAACTGACAACGAGGTTAGTATAAAAAAGCCGTTATTGATTTTCTGCATAAACGTCACCACAGTTGTGCAGCTCATACTTTGAACTTAGTTGTTTAAGATACTATTAAGGAAAATTAAATATTAATTAGAGTTGAAAAGTGTCGAGCAATAGTAGCCTATTTTAGAAGAAGCAATAATGCTACATTTAAATTAAAACAGGTTCAAGAACAAATGCAGCTGGAACCCTTAACACTAAAACTAGATGGAATTCGTTTTATTATATGCTGGAACGTCTCGACAAGGTCAAGATACCTCTTTCTACTGCAATCACTTTAAGACCTGGCCGTCCAGATAATCTTAATGCTGAAGAATGAATCGAAGTGCAACAAGTGAACAAATGACGAATATTATATCTGGGGAGCAATATCCAACATTATCCTGCATCATACCTCTTACTCGCGGCGTACAAGTGGCGCTAAGAAATTGCAGTTCTTATTCTGAAGTCGCTAGCAGGTTAAACACAAAATTACTGAAAATTTTTGATAGAAGGTTTAGCAGTCATGAAATTAACAAAACTGCTGCTAAAGCAACATTCATAGATCCAAGAAGATCCAAGAGCGAAATGCAGATAATGCTCAAACATTTGTTGTTGACGATTTGATGATGTTAGAAACATTAGAATCTCAAGCTCAATTCCAGGTCCCAAATAGATCTCCACAGCCTACTTCACCTCTCGAAACACTTTCTAATTCATCTTCAGATTCCCAGCAGATAACTTCTGGGGTGACTGGCGAGAATTTATGGGAGCATCTAGATAAAAGGGTATTGGAATTTTCTAGCATAGAAAACCCTTCAACATCAGCAATTATCAAGGTGAAACAGTATGTAGAGCTACCGTATTTGGATATAAAAACCAATCCACTTACATTTTGGGCACTTCGCAAAGTCACCAACAACGGTCTATCTCTATTTAAAACTGCTTTAAAGTATTTATGCATTCCAGCCACTTCTGTGCCCTCGGAAAAAGTTTTCTCTAAGGCTGGACTCTTGTGTAACTAACGTCGTAATAGACTAGAAAACAAGAAGGTAGGCCAAATACTCTTTTTGAACAGTTATTTCAAATAAGTTTTATTTTCTTATCTCCTATCTTGTTATGACTGAAAACTACCAATATCTACTCTTATTAGGAATTGTTTTTTAAATACATATTAGCTAGGTACTATTTTACTGTATCTTTAGGTATAATGTTATATTTTGAGCCATTAAGTTCGAGTTGAGTGATTTCAATTCACACCATACTCTATCTAGGTATTAAGAGTTTATTAGACATGTGAGCATCTTTAAAGCTGTATCAATAGGCTCCTAACTCGTGTCTGAGACGTCACGAGTCGTTTCGTATCTCAAAAGTGAGTCTCACTTTGAATTTTATTTGACTTTTGAGACAGCTTTGGAACGCCAAAATTTAAGTGTCCAAGTTTCGATTTAATAACTTTCTTTAAGCTTATTTAATTCGTCTAGATGTGATGGTTATACTAAATTAATAACTCGATTATCCTTTTAATAATTAATATGACTTGCAAAGTTTTTTGTAATATTTAAAAATATTTTAATAAAAAATGTTTGATTAACTTATCGTTGTGTCATCATACAGAATCTACGGAATCGTAATCGAGTCATGATTCGAATACCGTATAAACCGACTCGAGTTGATTCGATCCACGAAAACAGCGACTCGGCACTCACTAACCAAAACCCTCTATGGCAGGGAGTTTTAGTGTGTAATGCTCCTTAACTAGTTGTAGTCGATATTCTTCTGTGTTATTTTTTTTATAATATTCATAATATTTCAAATTCCAACTCGGACCCGCAGGCATAACACTTTTAGCCTATTTTACTTTCCTGGCTCTAATTCAAACCTGGGTCATTACGCTGCTGTGCCAAGACTTTGTAGGCAATATAACACGTTAGCCAAAACGACTGAATTAGATATATGCCTATGTTTGTCTAAATATAAGAAATGCTTAACAGCTTTAATATAATGTAAGCCTCAACGTTTTTATTATTATTATTTCTTGTTTCATTTCGTTTGTTTTAAATTTTATCAAAACAATTTTTTAATTACATTTTTTGTTACTTTTAAGAATTTAAATTTTAAACATCGCTTGTAACTTTGTTCGCTTGATTGATGGTATTAATTGTTTTTTACTGTGCTTGCTGTGGTCTCCTGTAAGTTAAGGAGTACACCGACTTTAAACCCATTCTGTTAATTACTGTTTTTTTACTTGTGTATATCTTTCGTAGGAGATCCTAATAAATAAATAAATAAATAGCTGAAAATAACCTTTCCACGGCGTCGCTGCTGTGTGGTAGGCACAAAAGTTTTTTCACTAATTCACATAATGTGGGCAAGTTTGAGATCCGTCTCCATTTTCCAATTCGTGTACATGTTTCCAAAAGTCGATAATATTGGGATTTTTTGGTCAAAAGATAAAACTGACATTTCTTAACATTTGCCATTCTCTATCCAGTTCAGTTATATTATTTGAACAAATCCTTGCGAAGAAATAATGTAAATCTGCAATGGAAGGAAATTTCTTTTTCATTTCAGGATTCAGAATTGGCGCTGAACGCTAATTAAAAAACAGTAAAATTAGGAATGAAACAGAAAACAGGGGCATCAATGTAAAAACAACAAATCTACGTTTCAAAGGTTTCGTTTCAATACGAGGTATCGATACTTTGCTTTGAAACCCAGTCCTTTCACAATCGCTACTTTATATTTGATGCTGAACAGCTGAACCCAGGATCCATACCATACCATTCATTGGTTTCAATACTTCGTAAACAGAGAGACTCAAGGAATGCTTTCAACTAACTAAGTAGTGAGACCCAACTAAGAAAAAACTCTAGTCGAGTAACTTTTAGTCTAGAACCAAAAAATAATAAGAGAAATTCAATGAAAATTTAATTTAAAAAAAATATTGGCCTTTATAACTTTTGATCATGATTGATTTTGATGACGACTGATCATTTTACAAAGAAATGAAATGAGACCATTTTACAGAGGAGTTTTTTAGGAATAACTTTCATTACCTATAAACTTTTTAAATCATATTCACTAATTTATTAGACTGAACGGATGGCGTAGTGGTTTAAGCGGTCGCCACGCCAGTTACTACTACGCTGAGTGTTGTGGGTTCGATCCCCACATGGGACGACACTTTGTGATCCACAAATTATTGTTCTGAGTCTGGGTGTTCTTTGTGTCCGTTTCATGTATGTTTGTAAAGTCCCCCGCGACACAGGATATATTCCTAATGAAAATTAAAAAAAAAAAATTCAAGGTTTTACAACGCTGCGAAACGAATACTATTCTTCAGTATTCAAAAGTTCATAACTAGATACATTAAATATTTATGACTTGCCATTTTTTTTTGATAATGCAATTTTTTTAATAATTTGGTCGTCGTTGTCGACTATAGTTACCGGCCGACCGCGAGCCTCATTCTTCTACTCAAAATTTCCAGATTTAAAACGATTGAACCAATATTGGACCGTGTTTATGCAAGCAGTACTAGACCCATCCACGTCGCTAATGTTACGTGTTGTTTGCGCAGCGGTATTCCTATTTTCAGTTTCTAAAATCAAAACACTATCAAAAACAAATGACTGAATTTAAAATTAAATTAACATGGCTTTCAAATAAAATTTATTTACATTTAGAATTGCTCGCCGACCCACATATAATTAAATCTTAAAATGCTGGTTTTACTCGTATAAATCTCTAACTTCATGGGTAAAACCTATTATAATGCAGTTGAATTTATTGTTTCTACTACTTTATTTTAAAAGTTTATGTTATGTTATGTTATACAAAGGCCGGCCGCGTTTGTGACTCCTGAGTTGCAGACGTTCATGAGCGGCTTATTTATCTATACCTAATTATATTTTTTGTAGTTTCAGCGTATTTTGTTTTTTGAAGTGTAAACTTCTTTAGCGGAGTTGTACACTTTTTTTGTAATGGGTAAAAAATGTTAAACCCGCGTCAGGACACGTGACCCTGATTCGTAAGACGGAAGGAGAGTAGACAGCCGGCGCGGCGTAGGAGAGGAAGTATCCCTCTCTTTCTACGGCGTGGCGAAAATGTATGCCTGCGCCTGCTGTTTCGTTTAGGCAGCGCAGGGCGCTTGCGCGAATGTTCGTGTTTCTCAGAGATTAACTTTTTAATTGAATATCAATTGTCATGTTTGTGTACGATAGCGCAATAAATAAATATTGTATTCTACCACATAAATGAATGTACTTTTATACTGAAAATTAAAGCAATTCGTGCAAAATTATTCCCTAACCATTCCAAAATATCAAAAAAGCACAACGTTAATATTCAAGTTTTCACTTCTGCCGGCACTCTCGGAATGCAACCCGTCGTTTTTTTTTTCATGGAGAATGCTGAACTGAGTCATGTTTAGTAGAAATGACAAAACTTTTATTATACGGTACAGGAGTTGTTTATTTCTTTATTTAATACCTTGTGCAGAAAAAAAATGTACAATTTCTGGCATTCCCTGCCAGTCTACCTTGAGGTAGATATGAGTGATTAGGTCCAATAAACTTGAAAAAAGTTTCAATATCAATAACAAGACTTAACTAAGAAATAGTTGTCGTTAGTTGTAGTAGTGATAGTTGTTGCTGTTATTGTTATCTCAGCTTATTTTCATAAAGATGACTTTGCAGTACTATATTGCTGCATGTGGCAAATACCACGATTTTAAAGTAACATTTTTTTTACTAAAAACAGCGTTACGTTTTTAATTGCTGTAAAACAACAGTTTTTTATGTATTTTTATGTAATTACATATAATTAATATTATTTACTGTTTATTTGTTTGATAACATGATTACTAAAAAACGAATTCAATTCATGTCCGGAAACAAAATACATGTCCTATTCTATTAAAAGTAAAAATTTGAAGCATAGAAATCCCTTATTTCCAATATTTCCATTATTATTTGGATTTCTGTCTACATCACTATGGTGCCAGTGAGGTGCTTTGCTGTCACTATGTTTGCTGTTCATGCCACGTAATGTTAAATGTCAATGCCAAAATTGTTGCGGTTGTAACGAAATTTAATTTTACATAAAAATAACTATTTATGCAAGTAGACCATATAACTGCAGATTAGCTGAACCTTTAGATCACAAAAGTATCCAATGGGTTCCTCCCAGAGTTCTGAAGTACCAGGAGGTGGTTCAGAAGGATATCATGTTTTGCGGGTTTGTGTTTGTGATTTTAATGATTGAATTTTACTGCAATGTCCTAGTACATATCATTTGATACTGAAACTTACATTCTAGGTTCAGGACGGATCCCCAGGTCAACAGGCAAAACTTGAAGCATTCTTTGATTTTATAGTAGCAATAGAAGATACTAGATTAGACCAGGACAATGACACTTTAAAAGACTTGCTAAAGAAAAATGTTGATAAAACAATTAAAATGTTAATTTTTAGTAGTAAAACTCAAACTGTGAGGGAAGTAATGATAACACCTAGTGCCAATTGGGGTGGTCAAGGCCTTCTAGGAGTTAGCATAAGGTTTTGTTCCTTTGAGGGAGCCAATGAGAATGTCTGGCATGTATTGGTAAGTATCAACAATTTGTCATATTCATAGTACTATTAAATGAAAGGGCTGAAAATAATGTACTTGTGATACTATAATAAGGTATCTGACATTGAATTGCATCTAATTATATTTTGATAAATAATATTCACTTATCAGCCATTTAAGACACTTGTGTTGGAAGTAATAAGATTTGCAAGAACAAGAAATAATTGGTAACTTATAACTATGTCTGTGACATAATATGTAATTATTTTTCTACAGAAATACATGTTAAATATATACATATATCTATCTATAGCTTTATCTTAAAATATTACAGGAAGTGCATCCTTCATCTCCTGCAGAACTGGCAGGCTTGCGGCCATTTTCAGATTATATAATAGGTGCAGATTCTATTATGCATGAGAGTGAAGACTTGTTTACCTTAATTGAAGCACATGAAGGCAGAGCTCTCAAGTTGTATGTATACAATGTAAACGATGACACATGCCGTGAAGTGCATATCACACCTAATCATAATTGGGGAGGTGAAGGCAGCCTCGGATGTGGGATAGGCTATGGCTATTTGCATAGAATCCCATTAAGGAATATGGAAGCTCCCGTTTATGGATCTGGACCACCAAAAGTAAGATTTCAATCTTATATATAGGAGACTAAGTCTTGTTTTGTGTAAATAGTAGTTGTAATTTTCATGTTGTTTGTACATTAAATTCATGTTTTGTATTTTTCAGGCAGCTCAGCAAACATATAATATTCCTCAAAATCTGATGCAAGGTGTGCAAAATCTGAACATAAGTGATGAAAAAACTCCATTAATGTCTACACCTCCTGTGACTAACATTCAACCAGATTATAATCAAAGTGCTCCACCACCTTTCTTATCTGGAGTACCAATGGTAAATCCTGGAAACTTTACCCCTGCTGGTGGACCTCCTAATATTGCTGCAGGTCAAGTTAATGTTCAGCAACAAGCTGTGCCACAGATAAATCCTTCACAACATATTTCTCAAGCACAATCTGTTGTATCCAACATGGCAGCTTATTCTAGCAGTAAGTATTAAATCTATTTTATTGATATAGTACTTTTACTAGGAGTTTTTTTATGTACTTATTTATAATTTTTTAGATTTAGCTGATGCAACATTAACTAATTTGGGCAGTATACCATCTGTGTCAAATATGCAGCCACCAGCGCCGTTGCCCAATTTACCAGGAATTCCTATGAATCAACCACAGCCATATATACCTATGATGCCTAATTACACAACATCACAAGTTCCAACACCCACTAGTTTTCCACAGAGTTCACCAAATTTAGTACCAACATTTGATATGAGCAGTTTTGCTCAGACACCTATCCAACCACCTCCAATATCCAGTGGACTTCCTGTAGTCACACCAGTCTCATTACCAGGAATGCCATCAATAACAGTTAGTGCTACACTTCCTGTTTCTACAATGCAAGAAATTCATCAACAGCAGTCACAACAGCAACAAGATTTGTTATCGTGAAATGATTAAAAATTATTTAATTATATGCCTATTAATATTATAGCTAAGCTGAGAGTTCTCTTATTGGCCCAAATTTATGTTAGATTATTTAAAATGTTTTATGCTAAAGTCATGTACTTGGAAGGCAGGTCGTGTGGTTTTAGCATTGTATAATATATAATTTTCATTAAATATATTGATTTTACAAAGTGCAAAGAATATTGATATACCAATAGTGGGTATTTGACAAGTATATAGTATACATTCATTAAACAATTTTATTTAGGTCTGCCTTCAAAGTTATAATAAGTGTACATTTAAAATGATAAATAAATATTTAAAAAAACAAGATTATTTAATTTATATTATTTTTCTGTTTTAATTTAAAATTAAAAGTACACAACCTTAATTATAGCACAAATGATGACATTATAGTATAATCAACCGAGACAAACACTACAAAAATATAAAAATAAGTTATTCATATAATTATTACAATTCTAATCATTTAAAATCGAAATGTGATTTACAAAGACTACACCTTTAAAATTATTTGGATTTATAGATTTCTACTCCAGTTGCCCGAAAAGTGTCCTACCTCCATCCTATAGAAAACCGGTTAAAATACTATTCCACCAGTAGTAGTATCTTACAAGTATGTTTTTATTGGTAGCTAAAGCTGTAGTGTGCTCCAAAGACACCACACACACAAAAGACACAAAGCGACTAGTATTTTCGCATTCGACATGTCAAATATCCCAGTGGTCCGGGTCGAACAGAAGGCCAATTCACGTAATAAAAGTTCGGTTATAATTCAGTTCCGATCAACTTTCGATCTCACAACTGTCATTGATTTGATTTGTCGTTGATTGGAACTTGAGACCGAACTTTTATTACGAGAATTGACCTTAAGATTGTAGAATAGACTCCAAACTGCTTCAATTAATAGAAAACAAAGTTAACATAGAAACAATCAAGAAACAGCCGAAGATTTGGAATGTTTAGTATTCTTTGCTATTTTTGGATAATATTTGACACGCACGGCTAATCGAGTCATACCTAACCCGAGTCAGTACCGACCGCGGCCGCTGCTGTGTGGCGCTGTGAGAAAACAACGTACGAACAACGACATCCTGAGGTCGTAGGTATGCGATAAGGTATATTTTACAAAACCAACTTAGGCTAACACTTAGGTAAATTTAGCTCTTTTAACAAGTAGATGTCTCTTGTAAGCTACTGTCCATATTACATTCAAATTTAATACAGTCAGCATTGGGGGGATTATCCGGTAGAGGTTTTTCTATGTCGAAACCTAGAGCAAAGTTGTCGTAGCCCCTTGTGAGTGTAGGTGCATCGCTGTAAAACACTCCGCCTGCCAATTCTGATAGTCTACGTCTGCGACGCGTATCTTTGTCATCAGCAACGCTTGGTGGACGTACACTTGAACTTCGTCGACGCTCCGAGCCAAGCCGAGTAGGAACTTTTAAGGCTGACTAATAAAAGTTAAAAGGCAAACATTATTGTTCTTCAAATAATTCGGCAACGAATTAAAATTATTTTATATTTGCAAAGAAGTTAAGTAAAAGTAGTAGTAAAAGTTGCTCCTAAAATGTTTAGTCAATTAATTTAATTAATTTGACAAATTTGAAAAAAAATCCTAAATCGACGTTAGAATAGAACTGTTGGTCAAGAGGACCTACCTTAATTTTTTTAGGCAAAGAGTTTAGAAGTTTAACAACAGGCGGTGATATCAGATCGATTGGAACTTGAGCTGGGTTCATTGTGCCTGTAATAACAGACACGATGAGTCCAGCTACTAATGTTACAAGGCAACCCAATCCAGAGTACCACAGATATGACACTCGGAACAGCCAGAATACTTCATCGTCACGATTTTCACTGTAAATAAACACAATTATAGTTGTAATTATGACAGAGAATTTAAAGTTTGTTAATTAATTTCACTCTTGTATGTTTCCTATTTGTTAGTGGTTCCGCACTGGAGAGCTTCATAAGAAAGTGTTAAGATTGGCAACTAGCGAATTGTACTACTTCTACCGTAAAGCTGACCATTGATTTTTTTGCCAATTTAGTTGTATTAAATAAAATAAATAAAAGGACAGACTACTAGACTGTTTGCGATTTGGTTGTTTTTAAATTCAAACTTAGATTAAAATTAATTTAGATAAAAGCAATTTGTAGATGATAAAAGATGCTATACCTATTAGCAATATCTATTAGCTATGTGTTGGACATACACAGGGTTTCAGAAGTGACTTATACGAATTTATACCTTAAAATTATTTGTGGAAGACTTCGTTATTTCGTTGTATTTTTTAATATTTGCTTTTTTTCTCTCTTACGTATTTCTTAAGACTACGTATTTATTGGACTTACTTTGGACCTATAGTCAAATGAGTGTTATTAAAAGGCGAGACACAGCCCTCTGTAGAGGTAGGAAGTCGAGGCATTGGTAGTTGTGCCAATTGAGCACCCCCTCCCGCAGCTGCAACTACGAGCAGACCAATTACTCCTCCTGCCACTGCACCCTGTAAATAGACCCAAAATGCATGTCTTCAAAATAGTGTCAACTCTCCTTATAAGGTGCGCCGATGCTATCCGTTTTATTATAAAATTACAAATATGATTATTCATCTTTTTATGAAAAGCAAATAAATATCGATAGTAAGTAAAAAAAAATTTTGGTTTTTAGGTGTTTGAAAATATGTTGTTAACATTATTAGGTACATACCTACATAATACCTACACCATAATAAAAACTTGCAATTTCGTTGATCCAAGTAGTTTCCAGGCCTTTCCTAGTAAACGTGAAGAATTGAAAGAGGGCTAAACTGCTACGTAACTTTGTATTGCGACTGCTGTGCCGAAGCCGTCCTAAATATGCCTATGACATCTCCATGGCTTTCCGACGATTATAAAAGTTCATTGAATATAGCTATTTCAAGTTTTTACAATAAAATGGTAGCATAGAAATGATATTCAAAACCTTAGCGTTAGCCCAGGGGCAGAACATGCCAAGTGAGAAGAGTCCAAGCGCAACACCTCCCGCCATGCCGTTGAAAGATAGGGCGAGTTGAAGTACAGGGCCCAGCCTCTCCACAGCGAACACCAAGCCAAAAGAAAGTGCACCGCACCCGAGGCACACCCAGCGAGCGATCTGTTGTTATAACATAAAACATATTTAGTTACCTAATGCGATACCTACTATTTACGTTCTTGATGATTTCTCGAATCGAATGGCAGTAAGACAATCAATAGTAGGGTAACAGCGGAATACTTTTTTTAATCTAACCTTTTAACAAAAAGGCATTTTTGGCGAGTAGGTAAGTAATACTAAGATGTAGGTGTTGATGCATAAGTTTACTATTAGATTAGATCACTTTGCATTTCTTTTACAAATCCAATCAGTAAGTCAGTCAATAAGTATTAGGTCCTTACATATGAAATTAGCGTTTTGGCCTACTGACCACTTTGATCTGAAATATCTCCTCTTTGGTTAAGAATTCCAAATTCAAATTTATAACTTAATTTAGCTGGCACATTTGAGTTTTGAAGACAGTCATTCATTTGTTTTTTCCTCATTATTTTTTTCTTTGTCGTCGCACAATGGAAAACATGAAATATCAGTATATTTACAAGTACGAGTTCTACCGTGGCACCCAGGGTCTGTCAACTTTGTTCTTAGAACAAGATGTAGGTGGGCTTGAAAACAAGAAAGAGACAACAACATTAGAGTAAAAGAGATGAATTATAAAATGTTGCCACCAAAAATACAATTTCGTATTCTCCAAAACAATGAGCTAAAAAAGAAAGTCACCCTTAAAAATACATTTTGTGATTATTCTGATACCCAAAAAAATTATTTTGCTAAGAAATATAACATATTTAATTGATCAATACACAAAAACAAAAAAAAGATAAGGGGGAAAATGTGTGGCAACTACTGGCAACACGTTTGACGTCACAAGAAAAATGTCTGCCTGCGGTTCCCGCACCATTTTATCTTGTACCTATGTTTATTTGTAATAAATAAACTAGTTGCATTTAATTCTACATACATTGTTACCGTGAGTCGAGTTTGCTCCTCCGTGGCTGTGTTTTGGTGAAATTAAGTGTGTGTTTGTGAGATATAGACTCGGTGTTGAGATAGTGACTCTTGTTTGATTGTGTGTTTAATTTTCGCAATGAGTTCGCAGAAAGAAAACACTAGAATCTGTTGCATGTGTGGATCTTCACCTTCTAAAGATTCCAGCATCACTTTGCATCGGTTTCCTAAGCCTGGCTCAAAAAATGCTCTGCGGTATGTACCTACCTAAGTACTTTCCATGCTATTTGTTTACATCCTTTAAATCTCTTTCAATCAAAGGAAATACAGAAAGTTTAGATTGTTATTTAGATAAAACTTAACTAAAAATATGATTATTAACCCTTTCCCCCCGGGGTAGTGATTTTTAACAAATTTTCGCTTTTGAACTTTATTTACATGATAAGGTAAGTAAAACGAAACGCACAGATTTTTTTTAGATTTTTATTATACCTAGAAGTACTATTTCCAAGACCTAGACTTAAAAGTGACGTCAGGAACTTCGTGTTATCACAATGTTAGGAACTTGGATAGAAACTACAAAATAATGAGATCCAATATTGACTTAGTAATAATTAAATTATTAGGTTTTTAATTACAGATTAACCTCATGGTATTCAACAAAACAATTTTTCTTCTCATTTACACACAAAAACACGTTGCAATGCGAACATTTACTATGAGGTTTCGACTGAACCTTATTCAAGCTACAAACTTTACACCTTCCCCTGTTCTCTACGAATGTAGACCAATGGATGCCTCTGTTACCCATACATATAGAATAGTCAGATTTGCGCCTTTTTGAAGGGTCGCCATCCGCAGTATTATCAGTAGAAGTCTTTCTATTCTGACTAGCATTTTTCATTGTCAGTCTCTGGGCATTTGGACATTTATCATTGCAATGTAGATGAGATAAAATAATTTTAATTTCCTTTTTAATTTTAATTTCGTATTTTATTTTTTAATTTTAATTTTTTTTTTAATTTCCAGGTGTGAATTATGGGCAAAGTATTGCTTTCCATACAAAGCCTGGTCTTCACCAAAATTCCAGGATGAACTCCATGCAAAACATAAGATGCTTTGCAGCAAACATTTTGAAAGCACATGCTTTATTGAGAAGAAGTTGTTCAGAACAGCTGTACCTGGTGTTCAATGCCATAAGGTTAGTACAATTAATACTTTAAAAGTGTATTTAAAGCTATTTACATTGCAGAGAAATACAGACTTTATGTTATGTGTAACACATAATATTATGTAGCAGAATGATGTTGTTAACATTAAATTTAAGAAAACTTGGGCAATTACAAACATGCAAAATGAGTCATAAATTTAGATGGAATTTGGTATGCAGATACTTTGATTCTTGAGGAAAAACATGCTACTTTTTACCGCGATAACCGACATTTACGCGGAGGGAGTGCATTTTTACCGCGATGACCGACATTTACGCGGGCGGAGCCGCGGGCAGAAGCTAGTTATAAATATTTCTTATATATATAATTTGCTTACCTCAACTATGACTTATATTAATTTAAGGATTTAAATTAATTTATTTAAAATAAATATGTTAACCTTTCATTTTCAGGACACAACAATTTCTAATCTGCCAGATCAACCTGCCATATTTGAACCTGTTGCCGGTCCATCCAGAATTTATCCTTTAAGAGAACATAATGCAAACATTATCACTCCAACCAGTTGTTCAGGAATTATTGTGTGCGAGTCTTCAAAACAAGAAGGAGATAAGAAAAACAAAATGTTGATAAGGAAACTGAAAAATAGTATGAACAAAGTATATAGATTACAAAAAACTGTAAAATATTTAAAAAATGAAGCATTTTTAAATGAAATCTCCAACAATGAAACAGTAAAAAAAATCCTCAATAAAAAAATGAGTTCATCATTTGCCCTGTTACTGCAAGGAGAACTGCAGAATTATAAGAGGAAGAAACCTGGACGCAGGTGGAACATGGAAGCTAAAATAATAGCATTGAGGCTCTATAAAAGGTCACCAACATGCTACAAGTTATTGAGGAGAATGATTTGTTTACCAGCACCCAGCACATTAAAATCCCTCTTAAGCAGATTTAGGATGAATGTGGGGATACACAAAACAACACTTACAATGTTGAAAAAGATGACAAAACACTTTGGGCCATCTGAACGAGAGTACATATTGTTGTGGGATGAAATGTCATTAAGAAAAAATTTATGGTACAACTCTAAGTCTGATCAAATTGAGGGTTTTCAAGACCATGCCACACAAGGTAGATCTCCACAGGCAGCTTCATATGCGCTTGTATTTATGGTGGTTGGAGTTAGGAAGCCAATTAAACAGCCAGTGGCTTATTACCTATCAAGTGGATTTGTCACAGCTGACAGACTATCTGTTTTGATTAAGGAGGTATGCATTTCTTCTTCATTTTGAAAGATGATCATGCTTATGTTAAATAAGCTAAGTTACTAATCTGCCTTAAAAAAAATTCAGGTTTTAAATTGTTGCTTTAATGCTGGCCTTAATATATGCGCTTCAGTTAGTGACTTGGATGGAGTCAACAAGAAAGCTCTGTGTCTATTAGGAGCTTCTGTAGAGAATCCCTATATAGAAGTGAGCAATCACAAAGTAGTCACGCTATTTGACACACCACACTTGCTGAAGTGCTTCAGAAATCTGTTCATGAAATATGATGTAAAGTTTATGACCAATATAACATCAGACAACAAACAAGGAATTGGTAAGTCATTGTTATTTAGTTTAAAAAAAGTGTTTAATAATATGTATGTAGTTTATACTTAACTAGCTGACCTGCGCAACTTCGTCTGCGTCTTTCAATAGTAATAAATTTTCTCCGTTTTTGAAACATTCTTTATTGGTGCTCCGCTCCTATTGGTCTTAGCGTGATGATATATAGCCTATAGCCTTCCTCGATAAATGGGCTATCTAACACTGAAAGAACTTTTCAAATCGGACCAGTAGTTCCTGAGATTAGCGCGTTCAAACAAACAAACAAACAAACTCTTCAGCTTTATAATATTAGTATAGATAATTTTACTTTTAATAATTACTTTACAGGAATTGCTAAATGGAGCCACATCAGACAATTCTATGAACTGGACAATAATAATCCCAATTCTGTTTATGCACCACTCTTAACTAAAGAACACGTTGACCCCAATACCAAGCAAAAAATGAGGGTAAAACTTGCAGCACAAGTTTTAAGCCACTCAGTTGCAGCAGGAATATTTTCCAAAATAGCTAAAGGTAAGAGACATCTTTAATAGTCATGGTCCAACTCATTTATACACACACATCATAATTATTATGCATGATACTTATGCACATTTAACAACAAGTCTTACAAATTCGTTTCAACAGTATGAAAATGTGGGGTTGTCTCTTTTATAAATGGTGAAACTATCTAATAATTATATTGTCATATTATATTGTACTTATATTGATTTAATTTGTTTATTGTGAATTTTCAGGAGACATGCCGACTGGAGCAGTGGCAACGGGTAATTTAATTAAAGACATGGATGAACTGTTTGATGGAGTAAACGCGTCGACATCAGATTTAAGAAGAGGAAAAAAATTTTCCACAAATATAAAAAAATCCACAGAACATCTGCAAATGTTCAATAAAATGAAATATTTTTTTAAAACCTCTGAATTTTTGGGATGCAGGGGTAATCCACCATCAAAAAATGGGTGGATCTGGACCCTCAATGGGATAGAAACGATTTGGAGAACCCTTAGTACCAAATATAAATCCATCAAAAGTCTGTCTACAAGAAGACTCCAGCAAGACCCGTTGGAAAATTTATTTGGTTGCATACGCTACAATTGCGGGTCCAATAGCAACCCGACAGTTGGACAATTTGTTGCTGGCTTAAAAACTGCTGTAATGAGCAACATGGCACACACTAGCTCAGGGAATTGTGAGCTGGATAGCAACAGTGCTATTATATCAAATTTATAAAATTGCTGACATCATCTGCAGACATATGTACTGATACAGAGCAATCCGAACATGTAAAGGAAATAGTAAAAGAAATTGAAGAAAGTATAACTTCCTCTCTCGAAGAAAACTTGGAGGAAGGAAGTAGCGAACTACAAGCATGTGCATATGTCTGTGGCTTCATTATTAAAAAAATAAAAAATAATTGTAATAAGTGTATGAAAATTCTAGTCTCCGAAACGCCAGAGGGAGTGCATAATTTTATAGAGTTCAAAAATTATGAAAATCCAAAACAATCGCTTACATACGCCTCAAAGAATTTAATAGCTTGTGTAGAGAAAAGTGCAAGCATAATAAATATATTTTTAGAAAGAGAGGCGTATAAAGAGAATATTAAAGTGAAAATAACACAAACATTAAAGGACTCTATAAATTATGATTTTCTCGAAGATTGCGTGGAGCACAAAGAATTAAATATAACATACATAATCAATAGTGTTTTCCACATTACAATTAAGAGGTACTGTATCCTAAAAAACAGAATGTTTTCTGAAGAGGCGAGTAAATCAGCATTAAAAAGAAAAATGCACATAATTATGCATAAATAAATGTACAACTAGCACTGCCCATGAATTCATCAGCCTGAATTTTAGACTTTTTCATTTTGAATGATGAAAGAAATTTTTTTACATTTTTTTATATTTGTGGAAAAATGATAATCAGGAGATAGTACTATTTGCGGATGACACTTCACTGTTATTTAAACTTAAACGACAGCAATCAGTAACTGATGTCGTGATTAGCACTCTCTCTAAGGTTGTAAACTGGTTTAATGTTAATAATTTACTTTTAAACGAGAATAAAACGAAATGTATTAGATTTTTTACACCTAATGTTAAACAGGTAAAGACCAATGTTCTAATAGATGGAAAGGAGTTGAATCTTGTGGACACCACCAAGTTTTTAGGTATAACACTAGACTCTAAATTGCAATGGGGCCCACACATTGACGGATTGTCGAATAGACTCAGCTCTGCAGCATACGCGGTTTACAAAATTCGTCAATTAACCGATGTAGAAACAGCTAGACTGGTGTATTTTAGCTATTTTCATAGTGTAATGTCATACGGTATTTTGTTGTGGGGAAATGCTGCTGACATTCAAAGTATCTTTGTGTTGCAAAAGAGAGCTATTCGTGCAATTTATAATCTTAGTTATAGGCAGTCACTGAGGGATAAGTTTAAAGAAATTGGTATCATGACAGTCGCATCTCAATATATATATGAAAATTTAGTGTATGTAAAGAAAAATAATCATTTATTCACAAAGTTTAGCGACATGCAAAAAAAATAAACACTAGAAATAAAGATAAACTCGTGTTACCAACCACTAGACTACAAAAAGTAAGCAAGTCTTTTCATTGTCAGGGTGTGCGATTTTACAATAAAGTGCCAAGCAAATTCCATGAATTAAGTATTAATAAATTTAAGTCTTTAGTAAAGCTAAAACTATGTGAAAAGGCTTACTACACTATTACAGATTATTTAGACGACAAATTTGCTTGGGATTGATGCTGCTCACTCCCACATTTACGTAGACATCTTTGTTGTTAAGTTTGAAAGTGATGGACATTTAATTATTATTTTTTGGTGTATTTCGTATTTTGTTTTCGTATTTTATTTTTCGTTGACTTTGAACTGTATAGTATTTTTTTATTTTTTGTGTAAGTATGTAAATGTGAGTACAGTGTAGGCTTGTAATGTTAATTAATTTTTTATTATCTTTATGGTGGTTTTGAGTGTTTCCACGGCCTACCCAAATGTCCTGCTGGCGGTAGTGTCATGCTTCGGGTCGTTGATCTTGACCAATATCGGTTAGGCTACACGATGGCTGGAGCCTGTATGCCGTCTGTATGGACAGGTTGACTCAAAACTATGATCCTTTCCTCAAAAGGCCTATCCAGACCCTATACAGTACTCGCACAGTTTTAATTAACTTTGTTTAAGGACTTAAAAAAAAAAAGACACCTCTGTGGTTTGTTTCGGTGTTTCTTCCCAGAGTGAGTCTTAGGAATTGCCGGCTCCTTCTAGCTATAAAGTCCGACTTGTAAAAATATCTGAAAAGATTTACTTACAGAAATAAATATCATTTCATCATAGGCTGATTATGCTTTATTTATTACTTTACAACTTGTTTTATTAATGGACGACAGTGTAGCTAAATTGGTCAGATCTGTCTACCTTCAACAAAAATAATAAGTATCTCTCTTGTTAATCATTTCTTTATTTATTTTATTAAACTGAAATAATACATATTATATAATATTATGATATATGTCTGTAAAGTGTAAACTTGTGTTTGACCTTGTCTAGGTTTTTGATGTTAAAATTGTATGCAATAGACCATATGGTCGAAGATGCTTGCTGTATTTTCAAATTGTATGTATTATCTCATTTTTAGAATATTATGTTTAATTTGTGTTTAGATTAAGCGACAAATTTTGTGATTAATTATCATTACATACACGCCATGTCAGAGGCCTGTGGGATTCCCAGAGGCGACTTAATAAGCTCTGACACTAGAGGGTGGCCACAACACACGCAAAAAAATTACATACACATACTTGTGAACACCTTTTGTCCCAAATGAATATATAATCAAAAAACACATTTATTCATGTAAAATTAGTATATAGTTGCTTATAATATGAATATCTGATAAATTATAATGAATATTATGCTAAATAAAAAAGTCAAATACTAATGTTTCTTTTATTACACTGATCCATAAATATTGCTTTCAGCATTTTATGCACAAGTACAGTGTGTTTCTCGATAGTGATGTCGTTTAGATGTCAATTGTTTTTGCTGAGAAATAATTGACCATCTTGATGAACACTATCGAGAAACGCACTGTACTTGTGCATAAAATGCAATACAAAGTATCTGTTTTGAAATTCCCGCCCTAGCTTCTACTGTCTAGTTTTGGTGGGCGGAGCATAGATGGCGCCGGCCGGTAAGGAAAAATTTCCTCATAAAAATAGTATGGAGTCGTTATTCTTCCCCTTTAGGGGTATATATGTTCTGTGGTGGCACCAGTGCTGCAGAAACAGCTCGAAGGATTAATGATGTGTACGGCGATGGTGTCGCAAAAGAAAGCAAGGTACGTTTTTGGTTTCAACGTTTTCGTTCTGGAAATTTCGACCTTCAGAACCAACCCTGTGGACGGCCGGAGACCAAAGTGGAAAATGAAGAATTAACGGCTATTGTGGAAGCGGATCCATCATAAAGCACTTCAGAGATAGCTGCAGGCTTCGGGGTAAGTGATAAAACTGTATTAATCCACTTGAAGCAAATCAGGAAAGTAAAAAAACTTGAACGATGGGTACCTCATGAATTGAGTGAATCGAACTTGCAAACACGCGTCGACTGCTGTGTTACTTTGCTCAACCGACACAATAATGAAGGGATTTTAAAGCGAATCATTACTTGTGATGAAAAGTGGATACTGTACGATAATCGGAAACGCTCGTCGCAATGGCTGAACCCTGGAGACCCACCTAAATCCTGCCCTAAACGAAAATTAACTCAGAAAAAGTTACTTGTGAGTGTTTCGTGGACTAGCGCCGGTGTCGTTCACTACAGCTTTCTAAAATCTGGCAAACGATTACGGCAGATGTCTATTGTCAGCAACTGCAAACCACGAAGGAAGAACTAGCTGCTAAACGACCGAGATTGGTCAATCGCTCTAGGCCACTGCTGCTTCACGACAACGCAAGACCACACACTGCACAACAAACAACCACTAAGTTAGATGAGCTACAATTGGAATGTCTCCTGGACATAAACCGTACTCCACGGACCTTGCTCCAACATATTACCAATTTTGCCGGAATTTGGACAACTTCTTACAAGGAAAAAAATTCAACTCCGATGCGGCAGTCCAAACCGCCTTCAAAGAGTTTATTGATTCTCGCCCCCATGGTCAGATGGCAAAAGTGCATAGATAACATCGGTGCATAGGTACTTTGATTAATTAAATATATTTTACAAAAAAAAATTGACTTAATGTTCCACCCGTACAAAAAGCCAATTTCATATGTAAGGACCTAATATATATACCAGTAGTTAGTATATAATTCTAATATGATAAAATTCTTAATAGTCTTAAAAAGTTTGTAAAAATTTAATATCTGTCTCTTTTTTTTCTAACTATTACAACAAATAATATAGTTGCAAACTTTTCACCAAAATGTTTGTATATTTAGGAAAAAATGTGTTTATGCAATTGTGTTGTTGTGAAATCTGGCATCATCTGTTACTCGCTAACTCTAAAGAGTGTCAATACTGACAATGATTGGTGTGTCTGAAGGAGACCATTAAGAGCAGTTACTAAACATTTGCTCACACATCTGCACGTCATAAATTCTTAGCTACAGCGAATGATCTACCATAACAAGTCATACACTGTTACCCGCTCCCCTCTACGACATGTATATCAGTTAAACTCGGAATCGCATCTTATCACTCTACATCTGCACGTTGTAAATAAGAGATTGCTACATATCACATTATCTTGGTAGTTTACACATTCGCTGGGTAACGGCAAGTATTTTGCCTATTTGACAGTCAGCCAGTGCGGCAGCTCGTTGTCTTGTTTTGCGCGCGGTGCGGGGGTGATCTAACTATGTTCCTGTATGTGTAGAAAAGAGACAGTGATCTTTTCGATATGATTGCTTTTAATATTTTAATATTATTGTACTCTAATAATGTACGGTACGGCACGTTGATTCATACCCTGTTAATTTTTAATGTTGTGTATATTATAAATAATATCGTTAAAATATCGATTGTCATTTTACAACATTTTATTTTATTTTATTTAAATCCCATTCTTAGCATTTTATCCCTTCTATGGCTGGAAAAGGGCTCGGAGGAAGAAGTAATTGACATTAGGAGATACACGAAGGTATACTCACTGTTGCACCTTTCTCTTCTGGTAAAGTAATGCCAAGAAGTCCTGTAGCTAGATCTTGGCAAGCAATGGCAGCTAAAGAATTCAGAGCTGAGGCTACGGTGCTGCAATTTACAGATTTTGTTAGGCATTTTGCAATTTATTAACTCTAGACCCTAGTAGGTACATGACTGAAGCTAAATAAACAGGAGATGAAAAGGAAACGATTTTTTTTCCTTGTATATCACAGAAGGTGACTTATTATTATATGGATAATCCTGATTGCCTTTTTGGCCAAGTAGATACTTGCAGTTCCCTTGGGTAGACCATAAGTAGTTTAACACCTGTTTGCAACCTTTGGGCGTCTAGGTATATGTGAAGGACCTAAATAAATAAATATCATAAGACTGATGGTATCAGTTTGAACATGATATACCTATGTACACTAATTTAATAATTTAGAGACGGTAAAATTGCGGGCCAATTATAGGGCCGTATAACCGTATAACAGAGGTTTTGAGTTTAAGTGCTTAAAAATTAATCAAATATTATTTTAAATGAGAAGTAAATTTAATGCACAACCAATATTGCCGTTTTAATGAAGGTCTCTTAATTTGTACTTCTGCTTTTTAATTTTGGCAAGGTATAAATTAATTTTCCGCCGCTTCATAATATTTTTTTTATTTCTTATTAAATTATCTACACTAGTATAAATAGGTATAAGTAAGTAGGTTTAGTCGCAAATTCCAAAGATCATTTAATACATTAATAAAAACGTGCTTATTCTCTTTTTCTATAAACTTGTGTTACAAACTGACCCAAGACTCGCTGCAAAGATCCCAGCCACGAAAAAGCCAGCCACTCCACGTGCTGCGCCAAGTTGCTTGACAACGTATAACGGCAGAAGTCGGTCCGAAGCACTAATTACTCCAGCCTGAGATAAAAAAAAACTCAAATAAATATTTATTCCGATTAAATCAATAGGTAAACAATAGTCTGTAAGTACTTAGTTCACCGTATGAAGTTATAAGTAACTGAAATAACATCGTTACTACGAATAATTAACAGTGTTACTTTACCAGAATGGGATCACAATCTGCGTAATGTACTGCAAGAATGGCTCCGGTGATGAAATTAACCGAGTACACGCTGATCAAACTTGCAGCTGAAATCCAAAGCGCCAATCGCACTTGAGCTATTCGCTCCACAGACAAATATTTTTGGACTGAGGCTTGGTTAGCGCAGAACATACTGATCCAATACACGGTACCACCAATGACTACGGACCAGAAAGAGTGTCGTACTGTAGGATCAGGATTCATGCTGAAAAAAGACATACACAAATCAAGTATCCGTTCAAAGCGAACTGGAATTTCTCTAAAAAATGTATTATCTCGATATAATTGATTCAATCAATCGATTATGCAAGCGGATTTTTTTTACATAACCATATCATCATTTTGGTATATATTTAAAATTAACTCGTAGTTTTAAAATGACTATGCGTAAAGAATGAAATAAACATTTCTAAAACAAAGTGATAAGAAGTAATACTAATTAGGAGCAAAGTCAGGTTTCCTACAAGTAATAAAGTAACTTGATGATGATTATTCCTGAGTTAAAATAACCTGGTTAAAGAGTAACCTACGCAAAAATTGTGCATCAGTTATTATTTGTTATTTATTACTCAAAGAAACGCAGACGATTTGTTCGCCAAGCGTGATCCCACACGACGTCAAATCCTCCAACCTGCGCTGACGACATCGCCAACACTACTGTTAATGACCCGATGAGCACAGCCGTTTGGAACGAATCTGTCATTATAACTGCTTTCATACCACCCTATAAAATAAAACAATGTATTAATGGGTATTAGCGAATTAACAACATTAGAAAAAAGATGGTGGGCGTGTCATGCTTTGACCGGCCCACATACGCTAAAGCAGGGCTTTTTTTGTGCCAAAGAATGGCTTTCGACCGAATGGTCGAAAGCCATGTCGAATGACTGGAGTGATACCATGGCCTCACGGAAAATTAGTTGACTTCACTGTGTGAGTGAGATAACTGGAGCCCAACCACATCCTCACCCAAAGAGCACTCAAAGGGCGGCAGTGCACTTGTGACTCTTGGTTTGCATCTTGGTCCATGCGATAGTCACTTACTGATTGACTGCTCGTTTGTCAAGTATTCCATAAAAATAACTTAATTATATGTAACTGTGAACTGATTAGGTTAGACGATAATTTTTTTGTCAGTCTAATTTGACAAGTGACCACTCTTTTACCACTCATCCTGAATAGGAATTCACACTGAATAGGTTTATCATACAGGGTGTAAGGGACTTCGTGACGAATACTGAAATATAGTATTCAGACCATCATTCTAAGTCATTCAAAATCATTGGAATTTTCTGCCGGAAATTTAAACGTCTTCAAATTCAATTCAACGCAATTCAAAAATAAACAGTATGACTCAGAGTGATGGTCTGAATACACTACGTGTGTGACTACAGTGATGTCTAAACACACACACAATCACAGTGTGTAATGATCTAAATTAGTTACGTTTTTAAGAATAAAAATTAAAATGCATTTTTACCTGGGTAGCGTAGAAAATGCAGACTGCGTAAATTAGGGTAACTGCTAGATATGTATTCAAACCAGTAACTGCAAATTCAGACAGTGGATTTATTATTACTAATGCATACCTAATACAATTGAATATTGCATAAATGTATTAGGTGTGTGGTGCACATGTATAAAAAAAAAAGAAAAAAAACCTCCTTTCTAAGGAGAGGCCTATGTCCAGCAGTGGACTGTTAAAGGCTGTTGATAGTGATGATGATGATGAAAAGCGATGTTAGATGATAAACAAACTCTTCGAATACTTAGAAGAGAACAGAATATGGCCAGTTTATGATCATATCCTAGTAGCGTCTCCAGTCATAGTAGCTTCCTCGTTCTTTTTGTTTTTTTACATCATTTTACCTTCTTCGTTATGCAAGGGCCTAATATGAGGGCCTAATGATTAGGAAAAGACCATCAATGAAACCAACCAAACCTTTTTGTCATGTTTTACATAACGCTGACTCCAAATAAAACTGATTGATCCATAACCGTAATCGTAACTTCTGAATATCCGACGTTAAAAGCTATGTTATAACAAGACCTGACAGTATGACAGGTGCTAATTATTCCTTCGTGACTAAAAATGATAATTTGATGTATTATGTGATTCTGTATTTACTATTATTTAATTTCATAATTTAAAGTATCCCACACTTGTAAATTAAGGGCTAATCACGTACAAGTTGTTACTTGTTTTTTCTGCGATTGTAGCAGCAATTGTTGATTTAGAAATATAGTCAAATTATTACCTCTATATTACCAATGTATTTTTCAGGTCCAATTTTTTTATAAAATCTAATGGACGATTCTTTATTCTTACTTCCAGGTCATTGTTAGCAACATTTAAATCTTTAAAAATGTAATGTAACCTATGTATTTTTCTGTTACAATTCCTTAATAAAATGTAATGGGTGATTCTTTTTTTTATTTCCAGGTCATTGTTAGCAACACAAAGACCTTTAAAAAGTAATTAATCCGTGCAAGTATGTAAACTCGAAATGTTTAAATCGTTGTCATTATGCCACATGCTTCATTTATATTATTACAAAAGACAATTATAACCGATAAATTTTACTTCTACAAAATAAAAATGATGCAGAAAAATTATTTTCGCCTTAATACCTATCCGTAACTGACAACTTTCAGGAACAAAATTAATTCTTTTGAAAACTTGTTTTTTTTTACCAAGCTATTCGAGTTTCTAGTGAACTAATTCAAATGAATGTGAATTTTGTACAATATTTTCATCGAAAAAATGCGTTCCCAAATCTTGTTAAATCAAGGTCCCACGGACCCGAGTTTTGCCGGGTCATAATGGCAGAGTAGAATACGCAATTATAGTGTTAATACTTATCATGGAGAATTAGCTGGAGAGATGATATGATGACCACTTCCAACTGAAGGTATTACACTTCAGTACGTACTAAAGTACTACTTTATAGCATAAATGTGATTTGTCTCTCATAATATCAGTAGCATAGCTCGCGTTGCCTACTTTATTCAAGTGCTCATTCCAACTTCAAAATAAATGATATAGCTTTTTATTATAAGGGTGACCCTGACAGCATTCAAATCTCAATCAACTAATTAATTAATTCATGGGCGGCGGTAGTCACTTTCCATCAGGTGACCCGTCTGCTTGTCTGCCCCGTCTTACATAAAAAAAAAACACTCGAGTTGAATCCCTCGTAATAAGTTACAATTTTATTATGATTAGTTAACGAAAACATATAAACATGATAACGAGTACTAGACATAGTTAAAAGTTTTATATGTGTGTAATAACTTTACACATTGCGAAGCGGCTAGAATAGAAGTTGCAAAGATATATTTTGTAAGATTGTTGACAAATGCACTTAACTTTCATTTTGAAATGCATTTAAGCATACGAATCTGAAATGCTTTTTAATAAAGACCGTGTCATCATGTTGATGATACAGATAATCATACAGGTCAAAAGAGTTATAACCCATTGTCATTGTTACTCATCCGAGTTAAAATATTCCACAGTTAACTCGGTCTAGTGACCTAACGGCTTCAACTAAGGAGCTAAACGATGTAGATACCACTGTTTATGATGTCCCAATAATAATTCGGCATCCATATCGAAAATTAAAGTTATGGTAGCAAATGATTCATTACAATTCATTATGGATGCTTGGCAGAGGTTTTTGGTGGCATTACCTAATGTATTTCAGTATGTTCAGTTACTGTGCACGTGCACCCAAGTGCAAATATATTGCACCTTAGTTGGCAGAGACCTGTACACTCTAACATCAATGTGTTCACCGCACCATTATTTTCAGGTCGTAGGTAGTAATAAAATATTCTTGAACCAAGACTGCGTAGCGTAGAATATGTGATTAGATGTATTTCATAAGCAGTACCTACCATAAAAGTGTGCATAACGATTTAAATCGAATATTTATCGATTGTGATAACTGAACACGTGATAAATTGAACGTCGGCAAATATTATATAGTTTCACATACAATTTCGCGTAGGTACTAGAAATGGTAATTTATCGCCCTGCTGTTTAATCCTGAAGAGGTATCTAAGCTCTTACTTGTTTATGTATCTCATTGTCAATGAAATATATCCCTCTTGTTACTAAAATTAAGTCAGACATTGTTCGGTTTCGTTTTTAGCATCTGGTTATTTTATTTTACAAGAATTTCACTAATGCATTATTAATACTCACACTTCAAATTTCACGGTCGTCGCATCGTTTCAAAATCTAATGTCCAGGAGTCATTTGGGATACAACAACTTTTTTCTATTGAGAAACCCCTTTGTATAGAATTGTAAAGTGTAACAAAATGATTACATACATATTATGGATGTCATTGTTGACGTAATATCGTCGAGTTAATTAGGATTTAAGGTGATTATTGCTGCATAGATCATTTATTTTCTGGTCTATCAAAGTACGAATACTAAAATTAGTAGGTAAACTGTTTACTTTTTACTGTGTACGATTCTTAGTTAGTTACAATAATAGGGTATACTATTAAAGTGCACAGTAATTATATGTATAAAATTATGTATAAAATAATTATAAGTATACAGAAATACAAATAGAATAATAAAATGACAACTGAAATTGGAATGCTCAATTTAAAAAAAAATGTATGATGCGAAAACATCATCATGTCTTTTAATAATTTTGCAATAGTTTAGTTTTATTAGTTAAGTAGTTAAATTATAATGTTTTACTCTATTTTTTTTTGTCAAACTTTAATTTAACATTATTTTCTCACAAATGTAAAAGAATAATGCAAAATATGTAATCAGTCATTCATAATATTTAACAGAGTTTAGGTGAGAAATAATAGCGGACTCCAGTGGACTTCTATGCTATTTATTTATTTGTCGTTCCGATAAGTATATGTGTTGTTTTTGAAATAGTTGCACTATTACACACACATGCACAGTAAACGATTTACAGTTTACAGTGAGTTGGTTTTGCCAATTCTAGATCATTTGAAGAATTTGTGAATGTCTGAGTAAATTCAATTCAATTTATGAGGACTTCGAATTTTCTTGTTTTCCGTCACTTCTTTTCAATAATTTCCAAAATTTCCCAATGGCATAAATCCTTAGGTATTTGTATTTTTAAAAACATTTAACAAGTTCACAGCTTAATTAAAATATGGGTAAGTATGTTGGTTAAAATGGATTCTAAAAGTTATCAAATACATTTTTTTCATTTCTTTTTAAAGGTATACTTACAGATTACTGCCATTACATTTACAGGAAACATTAGGAGATACTTGCATATAAGACTAGACAGAGATCCAAATTTTGCTTATACCAAATTAGTAGGAAGGTAAATATGGGTAATATAAGAACTAAATTTGTTTAAATCAATATCTAATGTAAAATAACTACGTAAATTTCCGTCACCGTGACAATATGACTTTTCGCAACGAAGTTGCAATTTAATTACATCATTATAATATACCTACATCATTATGGATTCGGTAGAAGTATTCTAAAACACAATCATTAAATTCATTCCATAACACATTATTGACACTATAGCTTTCCCTCTGATTAATAGTGATTACGAAAGGAAAGTTGACACTACCGAAAAAACTTATTTATGTGTTACGATATAAGTGAAATAATAAAGAGTTTGTGTTTTTGGTATTTATTAGCTAAATTGTTTGTTGTATATTGTTACTATGAAATACTAAAATAAGTTAATTGTTT